GGTGTTCATCAGTTACCTGCAGTTGACTTGAGCTGGCATAGACTCTAGGAAAAGGATTGCTAGGTGGTTTTTGTTTTTGTTTTTTTTCCTGCTCTGACACCTTTGTTCCCTGCTCGCCTCACAGCACTGCTTCCCAGACTGTGTCTGTGAAGATTCCTATAACAACACATATGCTTGTGTAAGGACACTGTCAACGTCCTGGGATCTGCAGTACTGTGAATTTGATGACCGGGAGGTAAGTCTGTTAACTGTTCACAATGTGCTAGCGACTGTCTGCACTCTGATCTGCTCTCAAGGTTTCCCTAAAGTACTCCAAAAAGCAGACTAGCATTGCCTGCAGGATAAACAGTGAAGTATTTATCTACTGGTGAGAATGTTTGACCAAAACTCTGGCGGGGTTCTGGAAAGAAAAAAAAGGAGGAGGAGTGAGGAAGGGACAATAGCCTCAACTATGATTATTGCCTCCTGGTATCGCCTAACAGCCTCACAGGGAGCTGTGCTGGGGCTGGGTTCAGCTCTCTGTCCTACCCTAATTCCATGTGGCAGAGTCTTCTGTATGACAAGTATTTTCTGTTACTCTGTACCTCTGCTGTTCTTACGTTCAGCTGCAACTCTTTTCCTTGGGAAGAACTGAAATCCCAGGCTGATCATGTTTGCCTGGCAAAACAAGTATTTAAGTTACAACTGTGAGAAAGGTCTCTAACCTTATCTTGAGTTGTTTGGGGATAAGGGACATAATGTCCCTGCCTCAGAAGCTGTTCAGATCTTGCTAGCGGAGCACCTGCTGTACGCACAGAACTTGGTGCATTACAGGGCTGGTCTTTACTTGTGCCCATTTGCACAGAGGCGCTCCAGAGAGCATGTTGTGTGTGAGGCAACCGGGTCACAAATCTAATAAACTGCATCATCAGCCGACGTGCAATAAATGCATTAGCAGCAGGTATCCCCAGTTATGCCACCACACACAACATTTTTCTGGTAGTCTACAGTGAACAACTTAAAGCAGAGGAGTAAATCCCACAAGGTGGCTTTTGCAGTAAGACAGCAAGAGTGACTCTATAGGAGACCAAGATGCTGATTAGCAGACCCTGCCCTTCATTTTTCCACTTTCTGACAATTTATGATGAAATTAAAATGAGTGTTGCAGCTTTCCTTGTAAAAGTAAACGCCAAAGTTAATCTGATAATACACTTCATGTCACTTACACACCCACCCCCCCAGTAAGAAGGTATGGCTGTAGCACTTCTGGGTCACTCATGTTACCTGGGTTGGCTAAATTAAGACTAACAGTATTGGGGAAGATGCAGCAACGTGGCTTTTAAAACCTTGCAGTGAACCTTACAAGCAAGATTGCAACCAAAGTCTGTCCTGATCTTCTTTATCTAGCTTAGACACAACCCAGCCAGTTATAATCAACATCGTCTGCAGTCGTGCCTCCCACTCTATCTAGCACAGACAAAACCTCAGCTGAATTCTTGATACGCTTGACTAGTCTTTGTCCCACAAAATGGTTTAGAGATTTAATGTACCAAAAAACAACTCTGCCCTAAAATCCTCCAGACAAACCTTCTCAAAGCATGCCAAAAAAAAAAAAGCCGTCTTGTATTAGGATTACAGCATGCTTTGCTGTATTTAATGTTATCAGCATGTTTTGCACAGGTAGTCAAGGTGCCTGTCTGAGAGCCGGAAGTACCTGATGAGCACAGGATGGTGCTGTGATGGTCATGAAATTGTGTATTTTGAGATCGATTAATGAAAAGACAGCCAGCTTGGCCATGGCCTCTTGCTGTGGTCTTACAGTCATGAGATGGGTTCCATCTCTGTGTTAGGAAAAAATCTGCAGTGTAGCAGATGAGTACTTCAGGTGGAAAGAAAACCTTTTCCAACAATACTGTACTATCACAAACCTTTAGCTTTATCTACACGCTGTCCTGGCTTTGACCATTTAGCCACCTGGTAAATATGGCTTGTGCGTGGGGATGCTGCAATGTCGTCGAAAATAACATTCAAGACTATATGCTGTCATAGTGTTCTTCCCAAATAATGGGATTAAATGTTAATTAGCATTTAGGAGTTAATACAGTGCAGGAACTTTCTTCTCCAGGTGTTTGTGGAAGTGTATAACTTGACTGCGGATCCACACCAGATCAATAACATTGCTAAAACAATTGATCAAGAAATTCTGGAAAAGATGAACTATCGATTAATGATGCTGCAGTCCTGTTCCGGAGCAACTTGCCGTACACCAGGTGTCTTCGATCCCGGGTAAACACTGGTTCAATTAATGATTATATTTTTAAAATGAAGCATTTGTAGAGGCTATTTGTGACAGAACATAGTATTACTGACATACATACTGTTGTTTAATAGAGATGCTTTCTTGATGCTTCTATTTTTTAATCTCTGTTTTAATGTGACCTACCAAGTATAACTTGATGGTATTAATACTACTACTTTAATCTTGTCAGCCGTGGTTGACTTAGAATAGCTGAAGCTTACAGCTGTGCTGAGTAGTCAGAGAGAAGTGACCTCAGGTTTGCCTGCAAACAAGGGAAAGCTCTGCAGGTTTCTGTAGGCAGGAATTTCCCAAATACTCGCTATGCTCGTTCCTGGAGATGCTGTTAGCAAAGAATGTTTCATGCAGGACCTACGCTATATGTACTGGTCAGCTGCTGTAAGTAAATAGCACTTCTTACCTCAAAATTCAGTCAGTGATCATTTGCACCGAAGCTTTTTTAAAGTACTATTGAAAATATCCTTGCAGTTGTGCCTCACAAGTTTGTAATTTGAGGCAGCAAAGCTTTCTGTTAGAGCGCCTCTCCTGAATGCTTGATGCTAGACGAGCCGATATGCTGTTGGTATGCTGTAGCTAGTATTTATTTCTTTGGAGACTATCAGCTCCTTAGCTGCGCGTTGTTGCAATTCACCCGCTGTAATACGTAGAGAGATCGTCCCTACCGCAAGAAAGCGACTACGCATGTCGCCTGGCACCAGAGCTATTCTGGAGATAAGCTGCTTCTAGAAGCATTGGCCGCCATGGGCTCACACGGACTCCGTTCCTTTCTGCAGGTACAGGTTTGACCCACGGCTCATGTTCAGCAATCACGGTGTTCGGGCTCGGAGGTTTTCTGCACAGTCCTTGCAAGGCATTTGAGAGCCTCCTGCAATCAGCTCCCACTGACCAGTTTCTCCAGTGACTGCAGCAGGTCTGTCTCTAACTCTCGTTGATCGCAGCTGGAAGACTTCTAATGGGCTATTCAAACCCCGCGTGGAGGAAAACCCCTCGTCTTTAGCTGGTTGCCTTGTGCAATATGTATATTTTACAGCTGAACTGTAACTCTAAATCGTTAGACACAGCTAATCTGTCTTGCTCAGATAGTTGATTACCACCTTTGTCTTTCAAATACCTTTTCATATCACAGGCACAGAGGTGAACCTATGCCTATGAATCTGAACAGCTTATTTTGTTCTAAAAAAATCAATAAACGCGTATTTGAGTCAGGTTAGATAGGCAGGTGCTATTGCACAGTAATGCCCACCCATATCCAGTGTCACAGGCTGTCTTAAAAGCTATGGTTAATTATAGGTTTCCTGTATCGAGCTCAAAGCTGTTGATGCCAATAGCAAACTAGCCCAAAATAGTGTAGGAAGGCGTTAGTCAGAACTGTAGGATTGGACTAGCAAGTGTCTTCTGCAGAATTAAAATCCGTATGGTAAATATTCTCTTTCAACGAGACCACTTCAGATGAGACCAATGAATTTTGTAGGATGGCTTTGGTAGCTTACAAAGAAGAATGTAATTTCAACCTCCTTCTAGCTGGAAATGCTGGAATGGGTTCCTATGTACTACTGAAAAAACTCTTAGGGTTTAATATAGGCTTCCTAGTGAGTTAAACAAGAGTGTTGAGACTAACGAGTATTCAAATAAGCGTGCCTGTGTTTTGAGCTAACTCTTAAGTCTGTTTTAATACATGAACAGAAGTAATACTACAATAAAAATCCACCAAAAGAACCCGAACAAACAGGGCACCACAGTAGAGTTGATCTGTCTGTAGCCTCCAAACATCTTGAACTGTCTAACATATTATGTTGATTAGATTCTTGAAGGTAAATTATTCGGAGAGCAAACTAGCCAAAAAATAAATAAATCATTGCTTGCTAGAAGTTAGGCTAAGAGGGCTATTTTAGGCAGTTTGAGTGCTTCATAGAGTGTTGCTTTTTGGTCGAGACATAACTGCTTGGAACCCGCAGTAAGTGGCCTTCACACCAGAGGACTGACGTCATGCATCTGTCTTCGGGTGGGGCTCATCTGAAATGCAACCATCACTTGCACCCAAACTTAAGTATCATCATCTTTCCAAATCTTGAAAGAACACCCAAATTTGCGTTAGCATATAACTTCTGTATGGATTCACCGGCAAAACACCTTCTAGAAACACTGAATCGTCTGTCTTTTGCAAGACAAGTTCATGTTGCTTGTGGGCAAATCAACTGTTACTAGGCAAGATAATCTTTCCCTTGTCAAACAAACTGTGGCACAACTATTTAGTTTTTAGTTAGTTAGTTGCGATCTTTTACCCAAAGGGAGAGCATGATGATTTGGCTTCCTGTCACATAAAACCTTCTACTAAGTAATCATTAAGTAGGCAACAACGTATGACTCTCTCAAAGCTGTGACGGTGCAGACCGGGGTGCACAGATCCACAAACTGGATACAAGCAATGCTACGATTAAGTTGAACTTTCTTTGCTTTTAATTCTGAAGTTGCAGGAGTTGTCCTTCATGTAGCTTAGAGCTGCAAACTTCTGTGATGGCCTACAGGTTAGATTTTTGTAGAGCTTTTGCCTCAGATCTAACTCATTGTTTCAGATCTCTAGTGACCAAATATTTGGAGACAAAAAAATCACTTGAAAAGTAACTTTTCAGATGGAGCATCTGTATAAATGCAGAGGGTTTCTGGATACTCTCAAACTACTTACATGCTTTCAAATACTCAGGACTTTTTTTTTTTTTTTTCCCCCTCCACTACAACTGTAGCTTTATCCTACTTGTTTCTCAAGCCTTAGTATTGCCCATCACTACCTTTCAGGCTCTCTTTTTGTCTTTAAAAACAAAACCAAAGTTGTTTTCGTGCTCTCAAGTGTTTTGTTACACACTGAGCTAAACCTAAAGTTCATTAATGTAGCATTTTGCTTGGATAATTCTAGCAACTTAGACACGTTCTTTGTTTAAACTTTATTTTGGTAGCTGTATGGAGGCTAGAGTGAAATACATCAATGGCTGCACATTAAACCCTCAACAGTTCTATCAAACCTAGGTCATAGGTCAAATTTCTACTTGAGTTAAGTTTCAGTGCAAGTAATGTGCATTATGACGCTTCTTAATAGAAAAAAAATTGTTATGCATATGCCATCTTTTCTTAAAGTGATCTTAAGCCATAACAAGGAAATTCTCTTTCGAATGATTTACTTTTTGCCTAATAACTAACATGAAAGTTGACAGAACTGGTATGGATTGTGCAGTGTGTATCACCAGGTGTTTTACCCAAACTAACACACTTGCCATCTGCACACACCTGTAAAAGCATTTTGTCTGTAACTAGGCTCAATAACTTAACACATGCCCTGTCAGAGAACCCCACTGTACCTGAAATCTGCCATAGGTAGTACATGTTGTATAAAATTGAAATTCAGAATGAAATGGGTCAGTCCTGACTTAACCAAAAAGAGAACAGTGGTTCAGGAAAATAGCTGCTTCACTCACACTTTTTGATGAAGACTTAAGAACTGTTCAGCAGAAGGATGTACTTGTAGGAAGAACAGGAACCAACAGCTACCTGCCCTTCCATTGCTTGTAGAGGAGTTTGTTGTCACTTGTCAGGTGTCTTATTTCCGCGAAGCAGCTAATTCTGAGTATTTTTACCACCCTGAATAAACAGTGTTAATTCTTATCCTTGATGATTAAAAGACTGCGATGAAGGAACTTTGACTCTTATCCAGATCTAATTCCCAGCTGAGTGATTTTAAAACTAAATGGTCTTCCTGGATATTCCATTTCATATGCTATTTGACCGTGGCTGTATCTGTACCTTGTCACTGGAGGCTAAATGAAAGGGCCTTACCCGTACAGAGTTGGGTTTAGGTAAAATGTGATTTATTTTTTTAAAATCTGTATTATCAAAAGCAGAGCTGTGAATTTTAACAATCCAGTCTGGTAAAGTAGATATTATACAGGGAGAAATACAGTTAATAACTTTAGTTACATGATCCTAAACCAAAAGCCATGCAGTATCATCACTTCAGCATAAGTGAATACAGCCACTACATGCTTACCCAGAGCAGGCCCAGTAAATCGGGCTGCTTCATTTTGAGGAATAAAGCTGTAACAGGGACACACAAATGCAAACACACACCCAAAGCAGGTATAATACCATTTCAGTCAAGTTAAATTTAAGGCTGATTCTACAAGTTAAATACAGTATTTTGTCATAACGAAACAGCTGTCATTTATTGTGATTCAATTAAAATGAATTTTGTTTGTAGTACTCTCTCTGTATGTGAGCATACTTTGCTGTAGCATGTTGTGAGCGTACTTAACTTCTGCTGTTCTGAACGTTTATTTAGAAAGTGCCCTTCCAGAGGACCCTGTTCACTGCTGCACTTTTGGGAAAGAAAAAATAAACTGCCTATCAAACTTCCTATCATCTTTCTGTTACTGAACTTCAGTTAAAGCTTTCCAAAGGATGAAGCTGTGTCACGTTTCTAAAGATTGACTTCCTAACTTACAAGGCTGTTCTCTGCTTATTGCCCTGCTGTCTAACAGTGGCCGCTAGTGAACTTTTCTGTGGTCACAGGGAACCTTCGGTACAGCATTTAGCAAGACAACACATGACTGCTTTGCACCAGGAAGAAACACTGAGGTGAGGGAACAAATTTAAGTGCAAGCTGTACTTGCTCATATTTCCCCAGAAACTGATGTAGTTGAATAGATGGAAAACTTCAGCAAAAGAGACAATGGAGAAACTGCTGTTCATAATTAAAAGCTGTGTGTTCTGCCTTTGGGAAAGGGGAAGAATAAAATCCTGCATAAGGCTTTTTCCAGAATGGCAACTGTGAGCAGCAGTAAGATATGTGCCACTGAGAGTTGGATTCCTTGGATGATTCTGTGTAGCTGTTAAAAAATATGTAACACTTTTCTGAACTACAGAGCAAGGTGGTTTGGTACCTTTAGCCTATCTAAGTCCGAGGCTTTCACAAGCTTCTAAAACAAGTATTTCTGCGTCGTATTTTAATTTCTGCTTAACGGGGTGGTATCAGTTTTGTTTCTCATTCAGTCTTCCATTAAGCAGAGAAAAATATTTAACAGCTGCTTGAAACAATGCTGCCGTTTTTCTTTTGATGCTCCAGCTTATGGAAATGATAAGGTTTGCTGCAGCACCACAAGAAAAGGCAGCTCTGTATTACCTAGATACACCTTCCCATCGTGCTCAAAGACATCACTGACAGCCCAAGTGACGCTACCATCAGGGTCATGGAAGCTTGCCACAATGTCTCCTTTGTCGTTAATTTCTAAGAACAAGCCATGTTTGTGAAGAAAAATGCTGTAGAATGATAAAGGAGTCACCTGGACCGGTATGACTAGAAAGAAATGGCAGCGCTAAGATACTGCTTTCCAGATGTTGCTCAAGTCAGATTAAGCTGTCACTTAATCTTTTGATAATATCCCCTGGGCTGTGTCTAAAGCTGGCAGTCCAGTAATTGCTCGCTAATCTTAAAGTCCAGTCACTGCCTGCTTGCTCATGAAGGGGAGGATGGTGTTTGAACTTATTCCAGCTGCCAAAAGCCGCCCGTTTCCTAATCACAGAGTAAGAGGGACTAACATGGGCATAAGAGGGACTTGATGGAACACAACTGAATCACCCACTTCCATGTTTTTTCTGTGCAAGTTCTAGGGAAAGGGCAGAACGGTTCCTAGGAAAAGTAGCATGGTTAATCATAACCATGACCCTTGCTTGGCAAAAATGAGTTTGCAGAGCTTAATTCCTATAGCAGAATCCTCCTATGTCGTGTAAAGGGTTCTTGACCTGCCATGACAATATCATGTTGCTATAAACAGGGGACTGAGAGCTTGCAGCTATGGACTGCTTTTCTCAGTACTGATTTTTCTACTTTGTAAGTGGGTTCTCAGTATTATCACAACATAAAACCGCTGTGTTTTAATACGTAAAAAAGAAACCAATCCTCAAATGTTCCAGAAAAATCAAAGTTAGTATGTATTGGGATGCTGGCTGTTAGTGACAAAGCAGTTGTCTCTTGCATGTCCTAATGAAGAACAATGTGTTCTTTCATACTTTTAACATTTTTGTGACACGAATAGTTAATACTACACAGCGTCAAAGTTACCTTTGCAATAAATCTCTTCAGGAATGGATACGGTCCTAAAGCATCCAGAAAAGGAGGAAAGAAACTAGGCAGGCGAGTAGTAGATATTCCAACTCGGTATAAGCCTGTGTTTGATAATCTGATGTTGTCAGGGTACCCAGGCAGGTTGTCCACAAAGACTTCTTTTTTTCCTGCATTAGTTCCATTCACCCAGTAGCTGCAAAAAGGGAATTTTGTGTATGAGTTACAGTGGCTGCTGCAAAATAACAGCAAGCTTAACAGCCTAGAAGGTCCATCGTTTTCATTCATGCAAGGAATTTTTCAAAATACAGAAAAGGACTCTGCCGGAAATAGTAAATGCAAACAGGGACTAAACTTGAGTAATGATGATTGGTCAAAAACCTCATCTTTCTACATGTAACATAAACAATACCCCCCCCCATTCTATTCCAGAAAAAAAAAACCAAAACCTGTTCATACAAAATATGCCTGTTAAATGAAAAGTAATATTAAAATTGGCTTTAGAGCTTTCATGAAATAAAACACTGTTAAACCACTGACTCCCTTTAAAATGGGAAAAATGGGGTGTTACGCTAATTATCATAATCATGTATTGACACTTGTCTGCTGAGGTCTGTTGTAACTGTAACAATGGAGTCATTGGGATAACTGTAGTTGAGTCTGAGGGAATCAGGGCCCGGTATGTCAGGAAGGAGGGATAAAAAACCACTTGGCAGTGGGAAGAGCAACTGTTAATCTCTACCTAGAATTAACTAAAAGCTGCGACTCTTGCTACAGAAAAAAATAATGTAGACTAAGTTTCCAACAGCAACCCTCTTAACCGCACATCTTCAGTTTTTTACATTTTTAGAAAAGGAAAAACAGAAAAATAAGAACATGAAAATCATGTCTACAAATTGACTAAAAATATGTAATATAAACTAACACGTAAACGTTTCTGTTTAGGAGGAGAATGATGTTTAACATACCGCACAATTCTACATATGCTGGTTTCTGCTATTAATATGTAATCTTCACAGGGAGACAGCGCGATCCCGTTTGCCATGTACAAGCCACCGAGCACCGTTCTTCCTGTTCTTGTTACAGGGTCATAGGCCAAGAGGCGACCAAGACGGTTTGTTTCGATTACCTTAATCAATACATCTAATGAAAAACTAGGCTATCAAAATACCTGGTTTCAATTAGAACAGAAAATATTCAGAAGTTGTATTAACATAAATGAGATAAAAGCAGGCTTTACAGAATGGCAGATGGCGTCTTTATAAAACCAGTGAGCTCGCACCGCTAAAGGAGCACGGGATTCTGTTCATGTCGTTTCCCAGGCTGATTGCAGCATTCTTGCAAAAACAGAAGAGCGTGGAGGTTATAAAGCCCAGAGTTCAAAATATTTTATTCTGCAGTTCCTGCTTTAGCAAAACATTGAGGCCTGCCGGGCTTCTGTGAACAATTACAACTTCTTCAAACCAAACCGGAAAGCATTCACGAGTGTTTTGCTAAGGCAAGTAAACAGCTGGTATTTTACTTCTGATAGGAAATAATACGAGTAAGTTTCTTCTGCTAAAAATCTGCAAGGCAGCTTTCAATTCTATACACATAAGTCCTGTGAAGAGGAAACTGCCTTTACGTTTGTCATTTGTACTGGCAAACCCTTGTCAAGTCTGAAATACTAAATGGCAAAGAAGATGTGCTACCAAACAGTAATTCTGATAGCTTTAAGAAACAGCAAGCAACACGTAAGAGATTTCAACTGTTCTTTTTTTTTTTTTTCCTTTAATAACTTGGATCTCAATTCCCACCCCTTAAATTAAATATATTTCCCTTCATGTGATTTTTCTCCTTGTTTAATTTTATCCACAATTCTGGTAGTAAAGATGAGACTCAGTGTAAACTTTATGTCTGTGGCCTCACTGGATTTCAGCTTTACGAACAGTTTGTTCTAGACAGTTTTACTGAAAGACTACACAGAAAAGATACCTTCAAGCACAGCACCAATTTGCTACCTTGCATTTACTGCGGTGTAAGACCATGCCTGTAGGCAGACAGCAGAGAGAAACTAGCACCACGTTCCGGATTTTTACAGCATGTATCACATGACAATTTCTTTGGGTAATCACACCGGGAGGTTTTTTCCTTCCCCCCACCCTCCCCCACCCCCCCAGAAGAGCAGCTACAGAATATCTCAGCCCATCCTCTGCCTCAGGGCTTGAACATGCTGCATTCATAGCGTGCTTGGCTAAAAGACATAGGCACAGTCCAAAAAGCTTGTCTCTTCTGCAGCCTGGTGCACGGTGCTGCCAGCACAAATGTTAACACTTACGCTGCCTGAACAAATGGCCACAAATTACCTCATCTCACCTCGTATTTGTGATGTCGTCTTTCCCATTTGCTACTTGAATCCGTAAAATAAATCAAGTTTTTCTTTGATATTTCTAATCCATTTAGAAATTTGAAAGGAAGTCCATCCACACCTGGTTAAAAAAAATGACTACTAGTTAAAATAAGTACAAAACCACCGAGTGTTGAAAATTATTCAGATCCACACAAGCTTAAAACTTCAGACATTTCAATTCCAAATCTCATAGTTAATGCTATCCTTAAGTTGTCCCAAGCTAAAGTCCAACTCCAAGTTACTTTCATTTGCGGGAAAGTATGTTCAGGTTGCAGCCCAGCGTAACACATACGAAACCAAAAGCATCTGACAAACATCACTGCTTTTCTTTTCTTCTATTTTTTAAACAAATCTCAAAAATATAAAGCGAATGATGGGCTTTCAGTCTGGCCCAGTCCCCACGCTCACTAGTACCGATCTCAACTGATCTAAGTGCCTTGCTCTTCCCATTTATATATAAGCACGACGACCAAACCCAAGCTCAATCTACTTCCCCACCAACTGTAGCATCACCTTTTTCACTCGATAGCAGGAGGGTTTTCTCTCCTGTCCTTGGATTGACTTTGTACAGGCCTAAATAGGAATCCACCACAATCAAGTTACCATCCTGATCCATTCGGACTCCGTGGGGCCGGCCACATATTGGTTCATAGTCTGGAGTTCCTGAGATATGAATCGGAAGAAGTGTAAGACCAGGAGGTTGGCAAAAGGAAGATTCCGAAAAGCAAAGGCTGAAAAGCACTTAACTATCATCCTTGAATAAGCCAGATCGCTAAAAGCTTCCTTAAACTGTCTCTACAAGTAACATGCAAAGGAACTGACAGTATAATGGCAATCTAGTCCTCTCTGTTCCTTGTTACCTGAGAAAAAAATTGCTCCCAACCTTCAGAGAAATTCAGCTCTACTCTGTTTTTGCAGACAACTTTAAAAATGACTGAAGAACCGGTAGGATTACTAAATCAGTAAAGGCAAATGGATTAGCTGCTGTTTTATTTATGCCCCCCAAGTAAGAGATGGGAGGAAAAACCGCTTTTAGGAAAGATTTAGCTACTTCCCTTCAGCTGAGGGGCCCAAGTTCCACAGGTCACATGAGAATCCTCTAAGTAATCCTCAGGTAAAACTATGAAAGACAGATCTAATACATTCAATATTTTACAGTGAATAATTTTCCTGAGAGCACTTAAATTAGTAAAGCTTGACACCCTACAGTTTTGTGACCTGATGCCGTCTTCCGAAATACACAGTGTTCCAGTAAGCAAAGGACAACATGTATTACAACTCCCTGGAGCTGTACCACATCAGTGACACAAGCTGAAAGCACCCACATAACTGCCATGTTTTTAGGGAACCAGGCTAAAGCCAATCCACTATTTCAATGGCCTTTCAGGCCTGCTTGATTCATCAAAAAGCAACAGGATAAAACCAAAAAAAATTCAGTGTTTGTCTTCCTCATTTACAAGGAAAGCAAATGCAACCTTGCAGCCCAGTTACTGGTGATGGTACCAGGGCACGCTGTTGTGACTCTCTTGATTCCTTTGTAAGATTTGAAAGGTTTATAAAATACATTTTGACCTTGAGAGCAGGAAAATAATTGGGTAAATCATGTCTTTAGACCACCCTCAAAAAGCTTTATATAGGAGGACTGCTATAAAATTGTTCTTTATTTAAATGGCAAACCATGGCAAGCCTATCCAAGTCAGTCTCAAGGGCTAGAGAAGTGTGCCATTATGTCTTAACCCTGCCTACATCAGGAAAAACTACGTGGTGGCAGTAGGCATAAAAGAATCAGAAAACACTAACAGTGGCTAAAATAGCACTTCAGTTTCTCATTCAGTGGCATTTATATGAACAAGTTTGTTGTCATTTTCGCATCAAAACCGTTGCTCACCACATTCAGGCATATCCTTCCCCATGTGAGTAATGAAATGCAGCCGGTCACCACTGATCATCCACAGCTTCCCATCCACAGTACCGGTGTAGATATTACCTTAAAATAAGTGTATTAGAAGACTGTTTTAAAAGGGACCAAGGCAAATAAAACTTACTATAAAAGCAGGATATTCCTCATTATTGGAGCCCTTCCTTCTTGTTCCCAATTTATATGTTCTATGCACACCCAAAGCAACAAAACAGACAGGAAACCACACAGCTTGCTTTATATATATGTTTATAAAGCAGAAAGAGCAATAATAAATTGGAGATTAGAAAAAAGATGACTTGTTGATTTTAAATAAACAATACATTAAAAGCTATCTTAAGACTCCTCTGGGTTAGCAGCAAAGGCAGGCATCAAGGACGGGACTAAGGATTCACAGTGATGTTCTCATCCTGTCAGTGACAATCAGCGAAAGCATTAGCAGAGCTGACACCATCTACCTTTTTGTCCTGAGGGTTCTGCCATGTTATCAGCTAGCTAACATGCTCAGGAGACGAAAGGAAAATGTTACAATGACTGATCCAAAGCAAGAAGGTAACCCTTCTCCTAGGACATTAAAATCCTAAGCAAAAAACACAAGTGTGGGTTTTGTCTTTTTTTTTAAGCTGTGATGTTTTGCTTTGGTTTTCAACCACCAGAATAATACAAAAATGTGTAAGTTTGCATTAAAGGACTAAGCACTTTTTTTATTGGAGACCTGCTTAGCAGTTGCTTTCTCCTCTGCTTTTACAGTGTTTAAATTATCAAGGCGAGAACCTCGCAGGAAGTCTTCAAATCTTTTGACATTGTATTGTAACTCCAAAAACTGCTGTGTGGAGTATTGAAGGAAAAACACTAGCAGTGATCAAGCCCCACCTTTGAAAAATAGCTTCCTCCTACCTTTGGACTAGTCCAGGCTCTGAAATAGTACAACGCACATGACCAATCCTAGACATGCTGTTTAACAAAGTACACTTTCAGTGTAAAGTCTGCTAACTGGAAACATTCCTCTGATTTGTCTTTTATTTACACAGATTGAACTAAAGCAGACATTATTTTCTTTACATGTGACCTGCATTTTCACCCTCGCCTTGTTCACATTTAAAAATGTGCACTGCCACTTGGCGCCAGGTGTTAAAAGACACTCCGTAGAAGTTATGCTACCTTTCTGTGCCAATATTACTAAACCCCACAGATTCTGACTTTGTCTAATGACCGCTTACACCAGAGCAGATAAACAGATACAAAAATGTCTAGCATCTGCTCAATCACATCTATGGAAAAATGTTACGAGCAAACAGGACAGGTTCTCAAAGTATCAGCTGTCAGATCTAGATTAAAAGAATTGTCTAGGATTACTGGCATATCGAAAGCACCTGTTCATCCAAAGGGAGAACTTCAGAGCCACTGTTCAATACAACAACTTTGCCTGGGAAAAAACAGAGGCTGAACTTTGCTGTCATAAAATATACTGGTATTCTAATGCCTCCCGAGGCATGTTGGAAACAGCTGAAATTTCTGATGACATACCAGATTCTGTATTTAAAGAGAGAAATCTTAGACTTGTAAGGCTATTTTCTATCATGCTATGCACTAGGCTGTGATGCTATATTTAGATTTATATAGCTAGCGCAAGTGGGTTTTGTGCTAGACTTCTCTCATGGATATTGTAGTCAAGTGAAGGCAAACCAGAACTAGTTACCCATAATATCCTGTCTTACTCATGTGGAAAACAGCATTTACCTAATCAGGCATCACCACCACAACACTTACTACAACCTTGGCCAGAGTGTATGATTTCAAATGACTGAATCCAGTCTCCTAAACCATCCTTAAATTCAGGGGAGATCCATGGTAGAATTAACGCACTCAAGAAAAATAGAACCAAACCAGTATTTTACACAGCATCATGGAAGGGGTTAGATTTAGCAACACAGAGCATTTGCAGGATTACTCCTCATATTTAAAATACACTCTGCAAAACTCCAGTTGTGAACACTACTCTTTCTGAAAGTTGTAGGGGAAGAGGTGGAGAACAAGTGTGATAAAAAGACAATTTAACATAGCACCTTTGAAGAAAGCAGGAAGGAAACAGCTTTGAGAAGACATTCGCTAGGAATGGGTGCCTGAATGCAAAGCGTTGATTGAGCTAGGTCCCTTCCAGGCCTATGCTGCTGTGACTGAAAATGCTTCTAATTTCAGCTTGCACAATGGCAAACAAGAACGTTCCAGGTGATTACCTCTTACTTCTATAGCACACAAGATGGTATCTTTCAGACAAACGTGTCCTGAGCTATTCAGTATTTCCTTGAAAAATACCACGAAACTAAAACCAGCAGTAAGGGAGGGTGTCTGAACTGCCTGGCTCAAACTGCTCTGGACTGGGAGTTGCCACTTCCTCTGTACTGGCTACCGCAGAAATCTATTTTATCCACTTTCACATCAGGAGGAAAATAATTTCTCCAAAACAGGTAAGTTCCAAGACCACAGCGCTAAACCTGTGTCCTAAACAGAAGATCACAGTGTCTCTCCTTTATTTGGCTTGAACTTTCATTCCAGTCCCTACTTCGTTCACACCTGGAATTGTTGGAAAGATGCAAAACATGCTACTCATTACTGCTTCAGCTCTGTGCTTCCCACCCTCTGTAAGGTTCCTTCCTGCACTTACCATTTTGCCACCTCACAGCTGCCAGACAACCAAGATAAATTACGTGGATAGGTAAAAGGAGGTTTTGTATTATAGTGAAAAGTTCTTTCACATTCCAAGCTGCCCTAAAAATATGTTTTTGATAAATACGCGGATTTTAGAACAACTTCATTTGCCTCCCTCTTTGGCTCTGCATTCAATAACAGCTTTTGAAATAAGAGCATGCTGAACTCAGTAATTGAGCTCGAGCAGCAAATTAACACTGCTTTTGGAGACCCGAAATGGAAAAAAAACCAAGTCAAGCTTATCACTAGGTCTATGTCAAAAGCCCAAGCTTAGATTCAGGTTTGGAAGCATTCCCACAAAAATCTTTAGCTGTTTTTGCAAGCTAATTTTAAAGAATATTCCATTTTACACCTTTTAAAAATTACATTTTAATACAATTTCTATATATTGCCAATTTGTGGTTCTGTGTTTTTTAATAAAGCAGCAGGGTATTTGCTGTGTCCTTGGAAGCAGCAGACAAGAAAATGTTCTGGAATATTTCCAGTGAAATGTTTACTAATATGGAGATATGGAAGGACATACAATTATCTTAGTATTTTTAGAGCAAACATGTAGCAAACATTCCTATTTTTCTTTCTTTGTCTTTAAAATTCTTAAGCCTCCTCTTTTAGTAACTTCACCAAGCAGATGTAGCAGATGTATAATGTTACCCATTTGGAAGTTATCTACTTGCCTTCATCATCAGCAGTAAAAGACTCGGGACCTTTCAGTTGTCCTGTGAACATTCTCTGGCCACTCTGAAGCTTTTTATTCACTTGCAACGATCCAACTAAGGCAGGAGGTGGCTTTTCAAAACTGCACCAAATGAATTATAAGTAAGATGTAAGAAACAAGACAACACTGGACTATAAAATTATTTGAAGGGAAAGTAACAGGGCTTTATTCCAGAGAGAGTAGTAACAAGGTATTACCTTCTTTAAAGAATTTGTTAAAACTATTACTTTAAACTAAATTAATGATTCTGTGAAGCTTGCAGGCCCAAGCTAAAAAGCATACAGACCTTTTTTAGGAGATTTTTTTTTTCCTGAAATCAATACAAACACGAAATTCCCATCATCCTAGAGAGTTTTATTCCCTATCAGCAGTCTGAGATCTACTAACATTCTCTCCACATGCATGTATGAATACTGCGCTGGTCAGCATTATTTTGCTTGAAAATCACTCGTTTAAAAAAGCATTTCTGTTTTCCAGTTTTACACGAGAAACACAATTTCTCCTACGTATGAACTTCAGCAGTATGCTTTATATACTCCTGCAGGATGAAAAGTATAGAAGTTTCGAAAACACAGGTATTGCCTAACAAACACAAGTATGCTATTGAACTTTAAAATTAAGCAGGGGAACATACGTGAATGGTTCTGGATCAATGGGAGATGGTAAAAAGTAAATGCTAGCAAAAGTTGCAAGGGCTGCAGCTGGAAATCCCCATGCTGGGAACCTGGGAAGAAAACATACACATACAGGAGGAGGGCAGGAGTAGAGTGAGAAGAGTCAATTTTTTTTCAAAAGTTAAAAAAATTTTATTGTTAAAAATTAAGACTGAAGGAGGACAAAGCAGGCTGCAACAACCTGACAATCCCTGCCATGGAAAGGACCGCTGCCCTGCTCTGCCCCCGTACTAGAGCTCCTCTGGTCTCTGGATGGGTGATCCAGCCCCTGAACCAGCCAAAAAACACGAGGTTTCTTTTGCTGAGTTGTATTTCTAGTAGTACGTAACAGCTGTAGGCAGATACACAAGCCCAGTTACGTGCATGCTGAGCAACTTTGCTGACTCTGGTATCTTCAAGGCCTTTTACTGACCCTACCCCAGCTGTGGATTGGAGTATTTGCTATTAATGGGTTTTACCAAGTGCATGCATAGTCATAACGTGGTTGTTGCACGTATGAAATGGGGTCTGACATGAATCAGCCTCCAAGGAACTGGTCAAACCATCCATCATCACCTCCTCTGCTGCAGGGCTGCAATGCTCAGGGAAGAGCAACAGACAGACCAAAGCAGACAGCAAAGTAGCTCCATTCCACCAATTCAATTAGGAGGATTAAACCGTATTTAAGAACACAAAATAAATAACCAGAAAATTATACATGCTTTGGGAGAAAACAACTAAAAAGCCTTTAAAGGATGTGAGATTAAAAGGCGCGAAAGGCTTTTCCTGAGAAGGGAGGACCTGGGTATCGCCTCCAGCCCAGGATACTTCCCCGCTGTATCCGCCTCGTGTTTCTGCGGGATCTTTACAGGGAGCAACCACTCGCCCGTGGGCTTTCCCACCCCAACTAAGGCGGGACGGCGCCCTCCACG